CATTAAAAACATTCTTGGATGGCTGAGGCAGCCAAAAGGATTTTCTGGGCAGCATCTCCTGGAATTCTTTTCCAGCAGTAAATGGAAATAAGTGCTGTTGCCTTCTTTGTAAGAAAAGAGCAGGTTTGGTTTGATGGCTTGAAACAATTGTGACGTGAGCTGAGAGCCACATTTAGCAGCTGAGACAAAAGATGAGTGTGTTAACAAAGCCTGAGTGAGCTGTTCACTGTGCCCTTATGCCTTGGCAGAAATTATGCACGAAAATCTCCCTTATTTTTACTTCTCTGTACTTGGGATTTTATTATTTGCAGGATAAAGGGCCACCCCTGGAGATGTGAGGAACATCATGAAGCAGTGGAAGCAAAGGGGATGTTGCCAGAGGCTGACTCACTGTAATTCCAGGGCTATTGCTCTCCAATTTTGAGAAAACCTGTCATTCTCCCATATTGCCTAACACCAAATAGGATGTTTTTTCAAAAGGTCTCTGTGAAAGTTTAAAATGATTCACCTTTATTAGTTACCACTCAGTGTCTGGGATTTAATGGGGTTTTGGATCAGCCCCGTGGCAAACCCTGCGTGGTCCTTGAAGGAAAACTGCAAAGATGAGGCCGTGCTGGCTGTGAAAGCAAACCTTGCCAAGGGCAGGGCTTTCCTGGGGTCCTCGTTTGGAGTTCCCTTTGCTGTTCATGTTGCTGTTCCTGCTCCTTCCCATTCCAGAGGGGTTTTGTGGTTCTCTCTCTGCTCCTCCCAGGAACCCGAGCACGTTCCCATCCCAGGCGGCATCTCCAGCTATTTCCGAACTCCTCCTCTAATCCCTCATCTGGGTACAGCTTGACCTAATTTGCCAAGCTCCTGCCAGGTTCAGAAGGAGGGGTAAGATGTGGAATTTGTGTGGAACACTTTGTTGTGTTGCACAAGGGTGGTTTCTCTTTCTATTTTAACGAGGCCCTTGTTTATGTGCATGTGCAGCTCTCTTGATGCTCCTTTATTTCCTGAGAATGACTTCCCTCAGGAATGGGGAAAGTGCAAAGCTATTTTAAAAAGGGGGAAAAAACCAGAAGATGAGAAAAAAACAAACCCAAGCCCTTGATTCCTTCTGCTCATGCTCTGTTCCTCACCCTGCAGGGGAGCACTGTGGGCCATCCCAGTGGCACAGAGGGAGGGGCAGAAGCTCAGGAGCGGTGGCTGAGGGAGCAGGAGAGCCCCTCTCTGCCAGGGAAGTGCTTTGGCACTGGAACGAGGAAGGAGCAAAGTTTTATGTTGGTCTGTGCAGGTATTTGAGTGTGTTTAACTCAGACTGTGAGAGCAGCCCCACTTAATCCTGTGGGAATAACTATGGGAATGTTATTCACAGGCAGTGCAGGAGGGAGCTGATTTTTGTTTCCTGGTTTCTCTTCGGAGAACTTTGCAGCATCCCTGGGCAGGGTAACACATCTCTGTGTCTTTGAACAACCATTTGGTGTTAACAGGTAGCCTGGAGCTGGTTTCACATAAAGCCTTTATTGCTGGAATGTCCCAGCATGCAGGGACCTGTCCTGCCTTCCCCACGAGCTGGGGATGTGTGGGCAAGCAGTGAAATGTGTTGTCTCCTCTTCCAAATCAACCCATATTTTCTTCTCTCGTCTCTGGAGAGTCACGGGATGGTTTTTTTGGCCACCCTGGTGCAGTCTGGACAGAAACAGAGCAACAGTTTCGTTTCAGGAGGTGGTCAGTAATGTATTTCCTGTGATCTAATTCCAGTTGTGGCTGTCAAAAGTGTTGTAGATGTCCATTCTCCCTGACTTACTGTAAAGAACTCACCGCTGCCGTCACCATGGTGGGAAGGGACAGTCCACAGGGTGATCAGAGGGATGGGATCCCCACAAAGGGGCTGGAAGAGCCCCTGGGTCCCAAGGGAGGAGGGGATAGCACCGAGATCCCACAGCTCTTCTCCTCAGGCCCTGCCCCCGTCCCCAGGGAATCCAGGAATTCTGTGGGACACACAGGCACTTTCTCCCAGAGATCCAAGCAGGAAGAAGAGCAGGAGAGGTGGCCAACACCCCTGTCCTACTGATGAGGGGCTAGACTGTCCCTGGCTGTGAAGCCTTGAAACCCTTTTCCCTCAGCCCCACCTCGGAGTTCCCGGCAGATCCCTGGGGAGCAGCACACACGGGAATGCCCCGTGGGATTGGGCACAAGGAGAGGGGAAGAGCATCCAGTTCTATCTCCCAGTAAGGGCAGGATCTGTAAAATACAGCAATGGCCCCAACTGGATTTCTGTTTTAATTACTTGAAATTTCAATAAGCTCCCTGTTGTGTTAATGAACAACTGGTGATCTGTCAGCTGCACTTCCTTGGATGCATCCAGGGAGCCCAGCTCCCTGTGCAGCCCTCTCCCCTTCCCTGGGATTAGAGGGAAAGGATACAGGATAAAAAACTGTAACCAGCCACTGTCTGATCAAGCCCTGTGTGAGTAGATGTTTATTTAAAGACCAATGTAGGGTCGTCTTGTGTGTCTTCCAGTTACATCTGTTTCTGTGGGTGAGAAATCCTGGGAAAAGATGTGACCATCATGTTACAGCCTGAACTACTAAAACTGGAATGTCAAATGCTCCCTGGGTGTTCACAGGCAGAGCCTGACACCAAAACAATCAGGAGTGTGGAGTTCAGGTAAAACAGTTTTTAAAACGTTCTAAGGTTGAGCAGAATTGTCACTTTGTGGAGTTCTCTCCGTGCTCTCTGCTGGGAACTCGGGGCAGGCTCAGGTTGAAGTGTCACAAGCTCTGCTTTTACAGGTTTGAGAGTTTGGCCATGCTCATTCAAGGAATTTGGGAGCTGAGCTATTAACTGACTTCCCAAGAGTTAACCAGATTCCTCAAATGCCTCGTGCTGACTTCCTAACCCAGCTCAGAGAAAGGCTGGAAAAAGAGCTGTTGCTGAGCTGCAGTTCCCAGAGCCGGGTACCGAGGGCAGGGGCTTTGCCTCCCGCACAGAAACCACGCTGCTGTTTCACCCTCCCAGGGGCTGCAGTCCCTCCTCTCCTGAGAGCTCAGGGATTGCAGCCTCTCAGCAGGGATGCCATAAATTGGGGCTTTGCTTTTATCCTGGACAGAATCCAAGGAGCCTCTATTATAATCTTCCAGCTGATTGATCCGATGGCTGTGCTGGCACCGCTGATGGCCGGGGCGCTCTGGAACAAGGCTCTGGTTTGCCCCTTCCTGCTGGGATGGTTCTGCTCTGTGGGCTGACAGGAATTGCTTCCAGCCTTTGGGTGCAGACACTCCTTTGGGAAGGAGGGATGCGTGTTCCTGTCTGTGCTGCAGTCAGCAGCTCCCACTGAGTGTCTGTTTACCAGCTCGGTTTCATCCAGGCAGTTTTTGGCAGGCTGCCCTCCCGTTCCCTCCCCTCCCACCTGCCCTCTGGCTCACTTTTTCCACAGCTTTCTCAGTATTCCTTCCTCAGCAACACTGTTTCTCACCCTTTGCTCCTCCTTCCTTCAGGATGGCTTCCATTCCTGCGCCTCAGGAGTGCTGATTCACCTCCTCCCCACACCCCTCAGCTGAGATGCTGCTGCCTTTCCCTCAGGATCCAGGCACTAAGCCTTAATAATCCCATTGTCATTCTAATTTGGGCTGTGCACTTCATTATGCTTTGTAAACTTGGGGCTATTTCAGAAGAGCATCCCTGGAATTTTTCCAGGCCAGGTTGGACGGGGCTCAGAGGAACCCGCTCCAATGGAAGGAGTCCCTGCCCATGGCAGGGGGTGGAATGGGATGAGCTTTAAGGTCCCTTCCAACCCAAACCCTTCTGTGGAGAGGGATGGACACCACTCCAGATTAAGCCCCTGCCATGGAGGTTGGGAGAGAAAACAGGGGTACTGGGAGATCTCCAGTGACACAGCCTGAGGTGGCCATCAGGATGTGCCAGCTCGTCAGGGGAGCAAAGGCAATTTAAACCTCGGCAGAGCAAGTTCATCTGTTAATAAAGTTTTCCCTGTTGCTTCCTGCACCACCTGGAGGCTTCAGTTACATGGATACACTTTATTTCCAAGCTGAAATGTATTTGTATCATCTGTTTTCAAGCAGCCACTTGGATTGGAAAGATTTGAAACGTTTTTGGAGTGAAACAGAGCTTGGACAAAACTGGTTATCCACACCTGAAATTACTCACCTGAAAGTGAGCAATTTATTAACTCAGTCCCTCTAACACTTGCTTAACCTTTTGTACAGGAAATCTATATCAATAAATATTTAACTATTTTCCTACCCCCAAATGATGAAGTGAGGGAAAACCATTATTTTATTTTACCCCCCCTCCCTTCAGCCTCGAGGTACTTTGCCCAGGAGACGTAAAAATCCTCCAAGTCCATCACTTGACCTCTTCAGTCACTTTTCTGAGCACCTTTTTGCACAGAAAGATCAAACAGAACTTCTCCATCATGGGTTACTTCCAAATGTTTGCCAAATGCCAGCTTTAAGGAAAGCCTTCACCCTTCACTGTGGATCTGTTCTCATGGCTATAACGTTTGTGGCCTGATTGCAGCAAACAATCTGCACATTGTTAGCTTGTTATTCCATTAAAAACCAGGATATTGGAGATTTGCTGCCTCATTTGGGCTGGTTTTTGGGCTTCACTATTTTAGAGTGAGCTCTTGGCCACCTCCAAGGGAACAAGCTGTGCTGCAGTGAGGACAAAGCACAGGTGGATGAGCCTGGGGGATCATCCTGGTTTCTTCCACCTTTGGAAGGCACAGGAACAGAATTCCATGGAGAGCTGGGGAAGTTTTGAACACCAGTGGCTGGTGCACTGTGCTGTAATCCACAGCCTGGGAATGAGGAGGTAAAGATACCTGGGGAAAAGCTGGCAGAGCAGCCCTGCCTGAGCCTACTGTGGGGTCTGTCAGCACTCTGAAGCAGCACTAAAGGCACATGATTGTAGGAGCTGGGCAAAGAACCCCCAGCAATCAAAACTGCTCCCACTGTCCCAAAAATGGATCTTTGGAAAGAACATACAAACCTGTGTCCAGCTGCAATTGATTTTATTGGAATTAAATAAAAAAGTGTGTTTCCCATATTACATTGATTCATCTCAACCAGTCCCAGCACAAGGCAGTTGAACCCTCCCACCACCCCTGGAATTCAAACACACCAGTCTGTGGGCCCTGGGAGGGGTTGAATCCACATCCCTGTGGAGTGAAAAGGCCCTGGGAGACTCCACGGCCAGGCCACCATGACTGACTCGCTGTTTAACCCTTCATGGATCCCACTGTCTGAGCAGCACCTGGAACTCTGTTCCAAGCTGCTGGACACACATCCCAACAGCAGGAAATCCCAACTGTGCTCTGGCACAGCTTGCTGAGTCTGAGCACGGGGCTCTCCTCTAACGGGGTGGGCTGAGCAGTCCTGCCTTGGCTGCCAGAGCCTCGTTCTGCTGGATGTGATACTCCTGGAATCTCATGGAGATCCTCTGGGTCATCTTTAAGTACTTCTGCAGGCAGTTGTCTGAGCAGGTCATCTGGGGGAAGAGGGAGACAGAGGGCTTTAAAAATACTTAAAACACTTCCCCAGCCAGGACCCAAAATGAAGTCACATACAGGGACAAACAGTGAGGTGAGCCCATCTCATACTGTTCAGCCTCAGGATAAGGGCAGGAGAAAATGGGAAGTTTAATTGTGAAATTTAGTTTTTGAGGGATGCCTGAAACATCTTTTAATATTGTTTCTCACATGAAAGTCTCAGTAGAAAACATTTAGGATCTAGGAGATATTACCATTTCATCCTTGGGCTCCTCTTGTGAAATTAAACTGTGTACTTTGCAATAAATCATAAATCTATTAAATTAATATATTTTGTTTACAAACACGTACTGTTTCATGGTCTGGTCTCTGCCTGCTCAGCTGAACCTTTCTCTGACCTTGTTCCCATTAGCTCTATTCATTTTCTGGTACCTGCTTGGTTACCCTTCAGCAAAACAACCCGAGCACATCAGTCAGCTGGACAGGGAAATAAACACCAGCACTATTTCATCCATAGAAGTTTTAGAATTTAAACTGTTTTTTTTCTTTAAGTGCAAAGAAAGAGTTACAAGATTTTTTTTTCTGAGCACCAGTTCTACCAATTGGATATTGTGTGTCAGGGTTCAAAACCTTGCTGTCTCTGCAGAGGGACAGAAAGGAAAGCCAAACACTTTGCTTGATGACTTGGAAAACCAGCAAACTGCTTTGGTTGTGCTCAGTATAAAGGGTGTGAAAAGCAGAAGGGATGAAAATGAACGACACCAAACCCCACCCAGCTACACCTTGGCCTGGCATCAGGTGAGGCAAAACCTGCTGAGCAGGAGTGAAGTCTCCCGAGGAAACACGTTCTGGAAGTGCCCCCAGAGGGAGTGGTGTTTGTGACACGGGGGCTGGGGAGTCTGGACTTGCAGTGCAGCCTTGCTGCAGGGAAAGAGGTCAGGAGCTGTTTATGCAGGTACAGAATCCCAAAGGAGATGCCTGGGGGTATTAACCTCAAGTGTTTCATTAAAAACTACAGCTCTAAAGAGGAACACAGGAATTTCCACACCAGATCAGAGCAGTGGTCCATCTAGACCAGTGTCCTGTTCCCAGCAGGGGCCACAGAGGTGCTCTGCAAGAAATCCCACAATGGCTGATGATGGACAAAACTTCCCACAAGGAAGTTTCTTCCCAGTTCCCCTGTTAAGAGGTGACTCCTGCACTACCAGACATGGACCCTCTGCAACTCAGAGAGGCAAAAAAAGGCAGATCAGAATCACAGCGTGGCTTGGGTTGGAAGGGACCTTAAAGCTCATCTCATTCCAACCCCCTGCCATGGGCAGGGACACCTTCCACTAGCCCAGGTTGCTCAGAGAATCTAAGAATGTTTTGGACCTAAATAATCTTTAATTCAGAATAATTATGACCTGTAATAGAATTCCACTAAAGCAGATGCAGAGAAGATCAGGAAAAGAAGAAATCTGTCTTTGGAAGTAGGAGCTTTGTCCAGAGCAGCAGAACCAGGGCTGAAAGGAGATGTAATTTCTGCCTGCACTGAGGAGCTGAACTCCAAGGAGGCAGAAAATGCTCAAAAACAATGGTTGGTTTATAATCTCAGGGTTTTTTTCCCTTCCAGTGGAGTCAAACAAAGGTTATTAAGACTTTTAACCAACAAAATGATTAAACTGTGAAACAGCCTCTCAACAGGAGAGGAGAAGCAAAAACATGCAACGAATCTCATCGAGAGCTTAATGTTTTCTGCAGGTGACTGTGATGGGGCTCCCTGCAGTGCAGAGCACTGGATTGAACAGCCAGGGCTGTTAAAAGCAGGCCCCTGTTCCCAGGAACTCACTCCAGTGCAGGAATGTGGGTAAGAAAACATCTATTTCAGCAGGGTTGTCCAAAGATGGAGATGTGCTGGAGGAAGGCACTTCCATGTGTACAGAGTCACCATCCATCGGAAGCTGGGGCACGAGAACCTCCACTGGCAGCTCAGGGAGTGACACAGAACTGCAGTGAGCAGCCACTGAACAGAGATGGGGCAGTTCCCTGTGTGTGTGGTACCAACAACCTACCTCTGGAATGGGCTGGGTGGGAAGGGACCTTAAAGCCCATCTCATTCCATCCCCTGCCATGGGCAGGGCCACCTTCCACTAGCCCCGGTTGTTCCAAGCCCTGTCCAACCTTGCTTGGAACACTCACTTGGAAGCAACATGCCAGGCCCCCAGACTCCACTGCAGAACTTCCTGCCTGGCTTTTTAGCCACTTGAAAGATAAGAACTCTCCCAAGTTGCTTCTGAAGTTGGAATGTTGAACAGCAATTCTACCAAAGCAATTACCTACCTCTTCTGGTTTCACATCTCTGCTGGTGAAATCCTTTATGCAATCCAGGAAGCAGTTTTCTGTAAGTTTATTGTATGTTCCAAGAAACTCCTTGAACTGTAAATAAAAACGGGACAGTGAGTATCCAAACCAAACTCTGTGTTAATTTTTCTTACACACACCTGCCTGGCCCAGCTGGTGACACTGATACTGAAGGACAGGTCACTAGAAAAACCTCGCTGTCAGTCAGAAGATTTCAGCACCAAATGCTGCTCCTACTTGAATCAGACACTAAACTGTGCTTGTCAACAGTCAGATGTTTAAACCTGGGTTGCTGCAGACCTGGCCTTAACTCAGATGGTAACTTACACTTCATCCCCATGTCCTACTCAATGTGACAAGGTGGTAAAAGACCTTCAAAGCCGCCACTCACAAACACAACACCTCACCTGCTTGATCTGGTCAGACTCGGAGATCTGCCCGGCCATGTCCCACCACCTGCGCCTCAGTCACGTGCTCTGAAACAAGAGTCGAGTTTCACACGAAAAGCATAAACATGAACTGCAACATTTACATCAGATGGAATGCTGTACATCCTTGAAGTGTGTTTAAATGGAACTCTGCTGGCAAACTTCCCAGCCGTTCACTCCAGGGGGAGTTACCTTTCTGAAATGCATTCAGTGAAAAGACCATCCGATAATTCCAGGTACCTTCCCAGATCCACCTGTTAATCGCTGTCCTTGAAACACTTTAAGGCATTTCAAACAGCTAAAGTAACTTATAAAATACCTTATTTATGTTTTTTAAGTGCTGTCAAACTCAGAAAGTAAAACTAGGGGAGGAGCTGGGGCCATAATACTTTGTGGCCTTACAGTGACTTCAGATGTCACCTGTGCCAAATAAGGAAAAAAGGCAAATCTAAACTGGCAGCCCCTCTGAACAAATGCAGCAGGAGCCAGGCTGGCTCAGAGCAGGGCCTGGTCTCTGTGCAGCTGCACCAAACACTCCAAACTGCAGCAAATGTTCTGGTCCTTGACTGCAGTGAATTAAATGCAAGAAAACACCAAAGAATGAGAAGGGCCTTAAAGGAAGAGAAACAAAGAATCGTGGATCCGAGGATTTCAGCAAATATCCTCAAGGAAGACTCACATTCCTAATCCAGCACACTAAACAAGTTAAGGCTTGAAAAGCATCCCTGCAGGTTTCCTGGAGGAATACTGAAACCTTGTCTTCCTTTTCCCTTAATTTCCATGTTATCTAAGGTTTATCACAGATGACAATGCAAACTAACATCATGTGTTGATGAGAAGCAGCTCCTTCAGTCTAATTCATATCAACTTGTGGAAGAAAAATGAGCACTGCAGTGTAATCACTTTGTGATAAAAAACTTTATTTAGCCCTTTAGCAAGGGCTACTCACAATTAATCTTGGGCAAGACATTCATGCTTTATAAAGCTTTAACTGTTCCAGTCTCTCAGCAGAGGGAAGGGAAGGGGTACAAGAGCTGCCTGAACAAGAACAAAGAGACAGTAACAATTATTTCTGCAACAGAAAGAAAACTAAGCAACTAAAAATAGCACCAGGGAGCTCTCAGAAGGATGAACTCTCCCTACACCCCTTCCAACAGCACAGGGATTATGACATCTGCCTCTTAACATCACACTGTCCCTGCACAGGGAGCCAACTCAGGCACTGGAGGTCAAGTGCACATATGATTCTTGGATTTAGGATGGACATCCCCATAATCAAGAATTCCTCAGGAGCACACAGGTTATTCTGAAGGAGAATCTACAGAATCTGGTGGTTGAGAAGAAACTAGGTGTTGTTTGGGTTGTCACTGAATCACAGACTGGTTTGGGTTGGAAGGGATCCTAAAGATCATCCAGTCCCACCCCCCCTGCCATGGGCAGGGACACCTTCCACCAGACCAGGTTGCTCCAAGCCCCGTCCAACCTGGCCTTGGACACTTCCAGGGCTGGGGCAGCCACAGCTCCTCTGGGCAACCTGTGCCAGGGCCTCCCCACCCTCCCAGCCAAGAATTTCTTTCTAGTATCCAATCCCTGCCCTCTGGCAGTTTGAAGCCATTCCCTCTTGTCCTGTCACTCCAGGCCCTTGTCCAAAGTCCCTCTCCAGTCCTCCTTCCCTATCCTACACTTCAAACTTGTTTTAGGACAATGGTCATGGGGGGCAACAACTGGTGAAAAGGGATGGCACCTCCACTCTCATTTCTAAGCCTGTTAGAAAATAAGGGCAGTGACAATTCTCCCAGGTCAGTGTAGGTAGATAATTAAAGAGACAGAAACCACAGGAAAGATTTTTGCCTCTGCCAAGCACAGGAAGCTCAAAGCTTCAACAGTCAGTGCCATTTTCTCACACTCAGTGATGCTTCGTAATTTCTGTTTATAGCAAACCTGGTCTGTTTTTCTGGACTAGTTTGGCAAGATTCAAAACTGCAGCTTGAAACTGCAGTTTCACAAAGCTCTGGCTCCTGGGAAAGGCTCTGATTTCCCTCAGCACAGTGGCACCATCTGATTGTCAGAGTCTGCAGCCCTTGTTCTGGTGCAGGTGTTTCACACATCCCACAGCTCTGCTGCACCTTTAGCTGTAAATCACAGACCTGAACACCTAAAAATGTGCTACCTGGGCACTCCCAGGAATGTGCATATGTTTTGCTCTTAAGTCTGGCAAATGTACCATTTCAAGCTTTCCTGCTGTTTCTCCCTTTCCCTTCTAACTTCTGAAAAAAATAGTTTAAAACCCAGGGATGACAGAGCCCACTCCAGGGCTCAGCACCTCTCCTGACCCCGCTCAGAGCTCCCTGCGGAGCTGCTCACACCACTGCACAGGGCTCAGTTTAATCTCCCAGAGCCTGCCTGACTTTCCTCTGGGCTAACTGGGATCTGGCAATTCGGGACTGCACTTTTAACCAAGCCCCACTGAAGGAAGCAGATCTGTGAATAAACCCCTGCTGGAAGGGCCACGTGGTCCAGGGCTGCTGGGTCACCGGGAGAGGAGCAAGGCGGAGAAATCTCCCTTCTGGAAAGGCCCTGGAGCTGTCCCAAATATGTTCTGATGTTCTGAAGAGACATTAAGACAAGTCCCTGTGAGTAAAATAAGCAGTCAAGGATAACCTGAGGTTTTGGGTTCTCTCACTTAGGCATTAAGGGTTTTCCATCTTCTTCCCACAAACACAGCCTTTAGTCCATTCAAGCCTGTTCTCTGGGCAAGATCCACCCCAGCTCCCAGCCCAGTTTTAGAATCTGCAAAATGCCTCTAATATTTGCCTCTGCTGTGGCTGCCACTCCCACTGCCATGGAAACATAAACACAGGCCAGAGTGACAGCTTTCCTTAAGAAGGAGAAGCTGGTTTGTGACTCAAACCAGTGCTTAGGTGAAGGATCCTGAGCACGGCAAAAGGAGCAGAAGCCACAACTGCAGATGTCAGAACTCTCCTAAAACTTCTGATCTGTGGGAATGCAGCTTCCACAGCTGTGTCTCCAGGCCTCAGAAGGCAGAGGGATCATGAACTTAACTCCTAAGGGCTAATAATTGGAACACAGCTTTTATTTATTATTGTAATTCCTGTACTGCTGGGTGACCAAAAAGCCTCCCTCCATCCCCAGCCTGGAGTTGTTACAGGTGAAGCACTTGGAGGAAGTTTTTCCCACCTAAGTAATCACCATTCCTGTCCACGACCTAATCTGGAGTCAGGAGAATCCTTTCCCATGGAAGCTAAACAAGCCCTGTGTTTGGGGTGGATTTTTTCCACCTTTTTGTGAGGAGCTGCATTTTCCTGGTGATGGAGAGACACCAGAAATCCCTCATGCTTGTTATCCTGATTAACATCTGAATTAGGTCTAGGTAATGCCTACTTTATCAAGATAAAGATAAATATCTTTCCAAGCCTTTGCTTCCAGTTGTACACAGGGAACACCACGTGAGTGTTTCTGAAAAGGACAAGGAAGAACAAAAACATCAGGTCAAAGAAATGTGTCAAAATAAAGAGGAATAAAAATACCGAGTCAAAGACTTGCGTCAAGATAAAGAATAAAAATACAGATGCAAAGAACTATATCAAGATAAAGCCCCCACGGCCTATAAAGTTCTCTTTATTGCTGGGGATCATTAGGCTAAAACCTGACTGATATTAGATTTAAAAAAAAAAAAAAAACAAACAACTAATTAACAGGCCAAGGGCCTTTAAAGAAGTGGGAAGCACATGGTGAGGTGAGAAAGGGGCTGGTCAGGAGGCCGGATAAGCAGCTGTACCTGGTGCACAGGTTATTCTAACCCACAATAGCTTGGATTTGGCCTGGACGCTGAAGGGAAAGAGGTGAATTGTGGAGATACTGACACCAAAGGGGAGTAACCACAGTCAGTGCTAAACCAGAGCCCCGAGAGCCTCTCTGAACACACCGAACACGTGCGAGGGCCTGTGCTGGGAGGAAACACGCCTTTTCCCAACAAAATCAAAAGCTGGAGATAAAACAACTCCTCATCGATTTTTTTCTTTTCTTTCCTTTCACTCCATCCTCCAGCTCCCCTTCCAAGGCCACCTCGGGTTTCCCCTGCTCGGGGGTCACTCGCCCAAGGCCCCGCGGCACAACCCCTGGCACGGAGCGCCCTCCTGCCCGCCGGGAAAACCCCGGGGCAGGGACGGATTTTCCCTTCCCGGACCCTCGGGAACACACCGGACCCTTGCAGGCTCTCCCTGCACCTGAGGAGCTCTCCCGGTCCCTCGGGAATGCTCCGTCCCTCAGGACACCTCCCGCTCCCTCAAGGGCGCTCTCTGTCCCTCAGGAACCTTTCCGGGCCTTCAGGAGCCCTCCCGCTCCCTCGGGAACACTCGCGGACGCTCACGGGCACTCCCTATCCCTCAGAAGCTTTCCCCGTCCGTGAGGAACACTCGCTGTCCCTCACGGGCTCTCCCGGGCCTGCAGGAGCCCTCCCGAGTTCTCCCCATCGCCCGCGGGCTCTCCCGGTCCCTCGGGAACGCTCCTGGCCCCTCAGGAACACTCTGGGCCCCTTACGGGCTCTCCAGGCCCCTCAGGAGCAGTCCCGGCCCCTCAGGAGCAGTCCCGGCCCCTCAAGGGCGCTCCCTGACCCTCAGGAGCCCTCCCGGACCCTCCGAACACTCCCGGGCCCTCAGGAACTCTCCCCGGCCCTCAGAACAACTCCCGGTCCCTGAGGAACAATCCCTGACCCTGCCGGGCTCTCCCGGTCCCTCAGGAACACTCCCAGTGCCCCCCGGGCTCACTCACCGGCCCCACGCGTACCGCGACCCTGCAGTTTCGCCGCGGGGCGAGGAGGGCGGGCGGTGTTCGCGTCCCCACACACACACACACACAGGGCCCCGCAGATTCGCCACCCGAGCTGGCGAATCGGCCGATTCCCTTCCCTCTCCCTCTTTCTCCCGCCGGGCGCGGCGCTTCCCGCCGGGCGCTCTTAAAGGGCAGGAACGCCGTGGCCATGGCAGCCACAGGCGGGAGCGGCTGAGCCGGAGCGGGGCCCCGGGAGCCCTCGGGCCGCCACTGTGTGAGATTCCCCCCACACCCCTCCATGGAAGCGCAGAGCGGCTCCAGCTCCAGCCGGGATTCCCTGGGCAGCCTCACGGCGGGCGAGGTGCTGATCCGCTCCACGGGGCTGCGCGGGGAGAAGCCCCCCGGGCGGGCGGTGACGGTGGCGGTGCAGAAGCTCCGTGAGGGGCTCTGCCCGTGCCCGGGCCCCGGGGCGGGTTCGGCCGCACACGGAGCCCCCCCGGCCCCGTGCGGGGCAGGGACCCCCCGCAGCACCGCTCCAGGTGCGTCTCTTACCTTCATTTACCTTCTTTTACCATAATACACAGTCGGGGGCAGCTCAGGCTGGTGCTGGAACCCCTGAGAAGTGTTTGCAGCCATAGAGGACTTGACGTGATGAAGGCATCTTTGTGTTCTCCTCCCGCAAGTGTCAGCACTCCCTGTTTTCCCCAAGCTTTTTTGCACGTAAAAGCCGAGCTGTGCAGGGTGGTAAAACACTGTCCAGAGAAATTCTGGATGCCCTATCCCTGGTTCAAGGCCAGGTTGGATGGGGCTTGGAGCAAGCTGGGATGGTGGAAGGTGTCCCTGTCCACGGGGGCAGGGATGTTTATTCCCTGTTAAACATCCCTGTTTATTCCCTGTTTAAAGGATTTTTAATAATCTGGTTTTCAGAGAGTTTTTCACATGCTGTAAAGCAAGCCTCTAATCCAGGCTCTCAGAACTCGTTGATGTTTATAAACTTCAGCTTCAAGTCCAAGGTCGCTTCTGTTTTCAAAGTCGTGATGTTTAGGGATTCAGAGAGAAGGGGAATGTGGAGATGTGGGTTAGTCAAGCTGGTGGTGAAAATGCCCAACAGTAGTGAAAATGACCACAGTAAAACTGCTTTTGTTTTTAGGAGTCCTCAGCACTAAGGGATATCCACAACTTCTGCTTCCAGTGGAAGATGCAGAGCCCATGTTTTTACCCCAAATGGTAAGAAAAGCTGCTGTTGCTTCCTGCAGTCCTGAACTAAGAGAATGAACAGCATTTTCCTCAAAAAGCTGGACAATTCAGGTAATCCTGAATTGTTTGAGATTAGCAATTTGGCTAAACTTTAAAAAAGTGTAGTTTCACTATTACTTCTCTGGCCATAAATGGGGAGAATACACTTAATCACCACTTAAAATACATATTTTTAATCTGAGTTGTGCTTCTAAGGTTTTAGTCCCTAAAATGGCCTGTGAGTTCTTGACTACCAAGTCCAGATGATTCTGTGGTGGAGGTTGTAACAAGTTTTGTGCCAAGGCCTTGTGTTAGTGTCTGGGTATGATTCCATTCATATAATAATTTGCACAATTCCATCTACTTCTCAAATTTTGGCCACTGAAAGCAAAGGCTTTGATGTTGCCTTTTCTACTCTTCCTCTGAAGGATTTTCCAAGAGAAGCTGCAGTGCAGGAAGATCCTTCACTTCTACTGGAGGACAGCAGAGACTCTGAAGGTAAGACACATCAATCCACTGATAGAGCCCCTTTTTGTGAGAAAACTGATTAATGAGAGGAAAAGGGAGCTTTAACTTTAGCTTAAGTATTTATTTTTCTTCATTATGGAAACTCTCGAGGGAAAATATTAAAAGCTTTCTTTGATAAAAAAGGTGATCGTTGTAATTGTAATTTACATTGTTAAGTTCTGCAGATTTGGGCTCATTCTTGCTGGCATTGCAGTAGCTCTTGGGATTAACTGAGTGGGACTTCTACAAGTTCACCAGAGGTGAACTTTTGCTGAGGTTCCTTTTGCTGATCAAACTGTTCGTGTCTCTGAATAGAGAGTTTGGGGAAGGGCTTGTCTGGATGCATTTTCCTGTTGGGAATAATTGTACTACAAAGGCATATTTTTCTCCAGGCAGCCTGTTCCATAAAAGTATATTTTTAATAGTTAAGAACCTTAAGAAATCACGATGGCAATGTCTTGAACTTCTGAATCTGCCAGTTGCAATCAGATTTAGGGAAGGGAAGATTTTTTTTTTTTTTTTTAAAGCAAATACACTTCTGCAGGTTCCTGGGATGTCTGGGGCTGTGTAGAGGAAAGAAACACAAATCACTCCCCTTACTCTCATCATTGCTTAAATCTGTTACTTAATGAAGTAACTGGTTACTGCAGTAGGTGATGTGGTCCCTGCAGGCAGCAGATTCTTCACAGCAAAACTGTACGTGTTGAAATAATACTTTGTTTCTACCTGTGCCATTGACATTTTGTGTCAGTCAGCTCCACAGAGTGTGTTTGTATCCTTCCCCACAGGTGAGGTTTTTATTTCTCAATATGCTACTGGGCAGAAGGAGGCTCTGAGGGCAGTGTTAAAGCAAAAGTGAGTATGTGCTGTTGGCAGTGACTCAGCTGCTCTGTTTCTGTGCAGAGATCCAGTTCTACCCCTTCAGTTTTTGCCAAAATGTTTGGTTGGCAAGGAAAAAAAGTATTATTTACTGTTCTTTTGCTGTCTGTGAAGGTATTTTCAGTTTATTTTATCATTCACTGGAGCAATCTTGTTTATTTTGTGTATTTTGGAGAACACCTTTAGCCTGTTGGAATTAATGGTTTCATGACAGAAGAGTCAGGCAAGATAATTCACCTTGTGCCAAAACCACGTGCCAAAACCATTTCTAAAGGTAGATAAGGGCACGTGCTGTTTATCCACAGGATGGAAATTTTGAGGATCAAAAATGTAGTTGGACTTGGCTACTGGAATCACAGAATGCTTTGGGTTGGAAGGGAATTTAAAGACCCACCTTGTTCCAACCCCTTCCACTGCACCAGGTTGCTCCAAGCCCCATCCAACCTGGAATATTGAACTTCACAGAACACAGGCTGCAAACACATTCTTTGTTGTGGTTCCAGGAAAATGCCTTTTATATTAGGAACTGTAACATAAACCTGAGACATTTCTGATTTCATCCTAAAAGATGAGAGTAAATTTGTTCCCTGTGTGCTGAAAGCTTCAAGGAGAAATGCTTATGGGGTGATGTCAGTGCTGTGTGTGGGAAATGGTTTGCTTGGAGGGGATGTGGAGAAAACCAGGCTATTGACAGGCACTTGTTTTTATAGAGCCCAGAATACTCCTGTGCTCAAGGAGGTGAAGGTGCAGCTCCTGGGAAATGCCTGCACAGAAAGGAAGGAAGGCGTTGGACACGACCCCAGGTCAGCACCCAGGGAAGTGGACTCTGCAACAACCATTGCAGCAGCCACTGCTGCTGCCATTGCCAGCACAGCCCCACTCCTCAAGGTGAGCAGGTGGCTTGTGGGAGGGTGAGTTCTTTGTCCACTGAAACCAGCAGATGTTCCAGACAAGCCTCAGATTGTTTGTGGTAGCTCCAGAGAGCCTTGGCTGAATGGGCAAAGGACAGAGACCATTTCATTTACCTTTTGGAGATTCACAATATTGCTGAGCCACCAAACATTGGGGCTAACGAGGATTTCAGTCGTGTCTTTTGGGAAGCAAATCCAGAACTCTGGATTGCACCGTTTTTCCTGTCCTCTCTTGCAGGTCCAAAATGATTTGGAAGCCAAAGTGAACTCAGTGTCAGCATTACTTGACAAACTGCAGGAGACAGACAGACACCTGCAGCGTGTGGCTGAACAGCAAACCCACGGGAGGGCTCAGCAGGACAAGCCCCACTGTCACCAGAGGGTCAGGGAGCTGGAAAATCAAATGAATGCTCTCATGGTGCAGCGGATTCAGCACCTGGAAAAGCTACAGGAGCAGCAAATGAATATTCAGGTGTGTTAAGTCACAATGCAGAAGCTTTAGCTTAATCATTTCCTCTGTATCTCAGTGTTAATATTGTAATAATTTGGATTATGTCTCAGTATTAGAAAGAAAGAAAGATCCAGTGGCCAGCTCAGGAGTTTAGTGCTTTTGGGAAAAGTTTTGTTTCTTGTTCTGTCCCAGATATCTCCTTCCCTCTCCTCCCTCACCTTTGTGTCTGTGGAAAGTAAATGCAAAAAACTGTGAAATGTTCACATTCCCTGTGAGAAATTGTTTAGATCTTTGTTAATTGAGGGAACTTCTATTCAATAAGTAGCCACATTAAAAAACTGAAGTTATATTTTAAAAGTGCCCTGTGCTTTTTGAAGATGTCCAAGCCTGTCTCTGTTCTGAGGTTGTTGTAAATGACTTTTTTCCTCAAATAGAATGCCAAAATCCATTTAACCTGATTTCATGGCAGGTATTTACTCATGTTTAGGTTTTTCCTTGGGGAAATGAGAGCACATGTCAGCAATGCTCTGTGTTTTTGTCTCTCAGTGCCATCTCCTCAGCTCTGCAGTGAACACACGAGGCTTCCAGCAGAGTCCTGGGCCCTCCTCCAGCCTCCTGCCAAAGCCAGCTGAGCAGCCAGAGCAGAGACCCCTCCCTAACCCAGTGCCTTTGTGTCCCAGGGGTTTGTTCCCTGCCACTGATGCTCCTGCCCAAGGTGAAGGCAAACTCTTAGTCCTTTATTTTCGGTCTTAGTTTGGCATTGATTTTGTTTCCCTTAATATTGGGCTGTACAAGACACCAATGATGAGCAGTAAACATTCCTTCAGTGTAATTGGCTTTATTGCCTAAAGTGCTGTATAACACAACACATATTCTAAAGATATTCCAGTATCTTCCAGTTCAAATTAAAGTGAGAGTTTTGGTTTACCAGGAGAGGCCTGGACTGAACTTAAAATAATCTTACTGAGGAATAATCTGTGTGGGAGCCTGGAATGAATTAGTTCATGTTATAATTAGCTTTGGGGCTTTTTGCTCCCTAATAATAATAATAGCATTCAGAGATACAAAATGTTCTTCCTGTTTACTTTTTTAACCAG